ATATTTGAACAATTTGATACAGCATTACTGCAATTAATGTTAGAGATTACGCAAAACACAATATAACCAAGATAATCTAGTGACGTATTGTTGTCTTGTCTGCCCTGGAGCAAGACATGTAAATATTCTTATAATTTTTTTAACAATAATTCCGCAAAACGTATTTCCTCAATTATTGTTTGTATGAGCCAGCCAAACAGGAACAGATAACCAAACAAACTCCGGAGAAAACATCGAAAAGGGAAAGGAATGTTTCTATTTGGCACACAGACAGACAAATCTCAATTTCCATCGTAAGCTTATAAGCCCTAGAGACCCTAGACCTTAAACCCTGAACCCTAAGCCCTAAGCCCTAGTCCCGAAGCCTTGGGTGTAGGTTCCAGGTCCCCTTGAACGAACCTAGCTGTTGATTAACTGACTCATTGCACAATATGACATGATTTTTTCTCCTCAATATGACATGATTTGGATGAGAAGCCTGCTGTCTTCTAGAACCATTGACTAGCTAATTTCCCTACATCGGCTGAATCCTTTCCCGTTGTAGGAAATCACCCCTGAGAACTGAAATTAGTATTGGGCCCGGCGTGCAGAACATTAAGCGGGATTTGGGTTCGGCCTGTTTTGCAGCCCACGAACCCTGAAATTCTACATGTCTGTGGACTGCGGCCTGCAAGTCACCGCAGCACTACATTCTCGAAACCAGGGCTGCCCGTAATCCTCTAGCTCCTAGCATTACCTGCTCCCACATTATTACGAGTATTGGCGTCAGATATTACCATCGCAGCCAACGCTCAGAGCATTTCGTTTAGCTTGAGTGGTGGTATGAGTACTAGTAATCCGTAGTAGATTTCCCTGCTGGCCACTGATATCACCAGTCCCTCGTCCTGGCTCGTAGTATTCAATGTATCCGTGATAATACCCGCAAAATCGCCTGGCGTGCTACATGGGTTAGTTCAAGCAGGGGCCGAACAACTCGTTCAGTTTACTGTCATAACTTCCATCATAAACTAAATTAAGAAAGCACGGATATACCACTAACAAATATTGCCAGTAACTTGATTAGGTGACTGGTTAAATCAACGTTTTTGTGTACACATAATACTGTGACATACACTGTGTAAGCACCTGGAATTAGCTAATTATATACATTACCATGGTCTGGTCATGTTTCAATCACTGGACAAGTGCATCCATTCACCAACCCATATGTTTTCAATTGCTTGCCTCTGGCATAGGGCTGTCAGAATGCAAAAGGTGAAAAACAGTTACTCGGCTTGGCAGCAAGTAGACTAAATATGTGCGTAAACCGTTTGAAATGGATAGCTCCTTATCTTGATATAAGCACAAAATTTAACCGACATGCATTTAGATACGCCCGCATGCAGAGTAGAGGCTTCATTTTGGCAATGATAGTGAGTTCCTATACATGAGTTGGACTGATGAATGGCCAAAAGACAACTAGTCTGGCACTTGACGAATGAAAACGAAGATATAAGCAGAACACTATAGAATGGGATGTTTACTTAGTATTTCAAGTATGTAATCTGATTAACCACAGGCATGAAGAAGCCACAAAAAGCTTTCACATAGCTTAACTTTTTGAATGATGCCGTGATTTGGATTTATGTTGAAAAGAAGCAAACAGGGTCTTTACACACACCGGAACAACAATTTTTCCTGCCTTGGCACTACCAGATTCCTTTATGCGCACATGTATTAGCCTCTGTGCTTGAGAAAGCAACGAAATCTGGACAACAAAATGCAGCGCCAATTTCAAAACGAAACAAATATTATACGATTGATATCTATGCTATGGTTTCAAATAACCACGAATGTTCTTGTCATAAACGAGCGGCTCGCGGATAGGAAGATTCACGATGTTGATAGCACCAAGTGGCATAGGACCAACACACACATGCTCATGAAGCTCGCGGAGCACCATTTGCTCCGTGGCCTCTTTTGCCTGTGCGAAGTGAATGTTGTCCGCGTCCATGGCGTGAAAAGGACGATAGATAGCTAGGGTTTGATCTTTTCAGTGGCTACGCGAATGATGTTTGCATGAGTACACGTGATGTTTGGACGCGAGTGTGAACGACTTCGCATATGAAATACTAAAATAGAGTTTTTAATAAAAACCCCCAGATTCGCAGATTCGCAGATTTGACAGACCCTAGGTTGTGGCACATATACAATCTGCGAATCTGCGAATCTGCGAATCCGCGAATCTGCGAATCCGCGAATCTGCGAATCCGCGAATCTGCGAATCTGCGAATCTGCGAATCTGCGAATCTGCGAATCCGCGAATCTGCGAATTTGCGAATCTGTGAATCTGCGAATCTGCGAATCTGCGAATCCGCTGTATATCCGTCACAGTGAGGCCCTTTGAGCATCAGATACTTACACGTCGCGTCGCGAATCCCTCAAATTGAGAAGCCCTGAAAGACCCTGAACGTATTGCAGCTGCATCCATGCCCCGATGAAGTTGGGCAAGTCGAGAGTAGCTGACAGCGAAGCGTGGGTTTTGGGGGGGGGCTATATATATATATATATATATATATATATGTATTTATTAAGGCTTTTGGGCCCAAAGACCATACTATATAAGGCTTTTGGGCTGTTTTGATCCGTGGGCCTATATGGATCGTAAACTAATATTTTGGTGAGCTGCGAAGGCTCCGCATGGATCTGTGCAAGAAAGACACAGCGGAGAAAGCAGACCCCGGGAACTACGTCTAGGGAAGGCCAGCACCCTAATCCTAAGGGTCCATGTACTCAAATAGGGCTCAGTTAGGGTGCCATAAGGGTTCTATAAGAGTACCATAAGGGTTTTAGGGTTTAAGGGTCCATATGTACTCATATAGCATATACTTGGGCCCCAATGCACCTAAATAGGAACTACATTAAGGCCAATGTATATACTATATGAGTACATGGACCCTTAGGGGCATACAGGTCAAAGGCCGTTAGAAAAGGAAAGGTCCCTTTGACACGATTTGGGTGGTTGTCAAAATTATGGTCCCTTTTTGCGTAACTTTAAATATTAGGTGCCGTACTATTTTAGGGACTCAAAAAGGGACCATAATTTTGACAACCACCCATTTAGAGGCCACCCTCATCTCGAAGGCCTAGATAACGAGAACTTCACTCCAAAATCTGTGAACAATCCTACAACTCCCAAATAATCTTAATCCGAAATCCTAAGCCCTGAAACCGGTGACCCTGAACCACTAAATCCTCACTGGCATTAGGGTTTAGGGCTTAGGGAGGCCCTGTAATGCAAAAATGACTACCGAACAGCTCGACCTTCGATGTGCAGCTGCTTCCGCACCTTAGTGCTCGTCAAGGCGATACCTTAAAGGTAAGGTATCCTTTTCCCTCTATGAGCAAGAGTTTTTTTTGGTTAAGGGTGTAGGATGTAAAGGGCTTATAGGGTTTGGGGTTTAGGAGTTTAGGGCTCACGGTTGGTGTTCATAGGGATTCAGGGCTGGGCTTTAATCCAGTACTTTGGCTTCTGTACGTTCTTGCAAGACTTTGTGGTCGGATGCTCGAATATACCGGGGTTCGGTGTCTAGAATACAGGCTCAGGGATTGGGTGTTTTTGGAGTTGTACATGGATGTACAGGTCTTAAGGGGCTTACGAAGTTAGCTAATTAAATTACGTACTTCCAGGCTCTGCTGTGTATCGGGCTTGCGAAAAAGCACTTCGAGTTTGGCGCTGTTGCTCAGGAGTTCACGAAGCGGAACATCTCGGGTCCAAAGCGACGACGTAACTACATGCCTCTACGAACACGGGATTTTTGTTGATGATTCTATTGAGGGTTCTCCTGGTAGCAGGAACCCTCGCAGCCTGCTCTAAGGTTTGTTGAAACCCGAGCTACGGAAACATCGCAGCGCGAAGCTTTTCCAGCTTGATCTTCAGCCTTCTTCAGCAACAGGTCGTGTTGTAGCACTGGCCTTCAGCAATCGCTGGACTTCGGGGCTAGATGTCATCATCAGCGCTGTCTGGCCTTGTTCGTTTCGTAAGTGCCTATCAGCGCCGGCCTCGAGGAGCAACTGCACCATTGAAGCATGACCACGTTCTGCTGCATTCATCAGCGCTGTGTAGCCTGTGTCGCTCTGCAAATCTTTCTCAGCCCCAGCCTCCAGGAGCAACTGCACGATTGAAGCATGACCACGTTCTGCTGCATTCATCAGCGCTGTGTAGCCTGTGTCGCTCTGCAAATCTTTCTCAGCCCCAGCCTCAAGGAGCAACTGCACGACTGGAGAATGGCCCTTCATGGCCGCAATTGCAAGCGCTGTGTGGCTATTCCTAATATCACGACCATCCGTCCAAACCCCGGATTCCACGAGCAGCTTCACGATAGCCAGAAAGCCCTTCTCGTGCAAGGTGTTTGGGTCGATGGGCAGCTGCAGCAGAGCTTCAACCTGAACGCTCCAAAAGCTTCTGAGGATGTACACAATCCAGGGTTCCGAGAGTTGTGAAAGGTGTTCCGTGAATACTAGAAAGGACGTCTTTGAAGATAATATACGTAGCAATATGGCTGTTATGCGTGTTATAACACCAGAAAATGAGAGGATGGTTCATGGGAAACTGAGAAGATGGATCATTAGAGGAGTCCTGAGGAACAGTGTGTATTTGTTCAGGCAATGGTTCCTAGATATTTCTTCGTCAGTAGCCAACACCATGCCTTGGCCGCGCGGCCAAGAAGTATGGCTAAGTATAGCTCGTGCTGCTGCTGCTCTGAAGCCTCCTCGAAGGCCACTATTAAGACTTGCAGTTCGGCATCATCCAAAGTGTGGCCAGCATGAAGCCTTTGCCTGCATAGTGGCGGCGCGCCGTCCTCTGGATCCGATCGACCCTTCAATGCCCCGCCGCCCACCGAACCGTGCTCGCCCGCGGCAGCGGTGGCTTCGGAAGATGTCGCAGCCACGACCTTTGGATCGAAGACAGATTCGAAGCTGACGTCATCATCCAAGGTACTGTCTTTGTGAAGGAGCCTTTACCTGAAGCGTGGTGGCAAGCCGTGCTGCTGATGCAGTCGCTGCTTCAACGCCTTCACGTCACTCAACTCCGAGAGATGAACACTTGTCACCTCTTCCCCGGAAAGTCTCTTGATGCGCAGCATTAAAGAATTCAGCAGCCTTCCTCTACCCACGGCCAGGGCACTCTGGGCACATTGCTTCAATGACTCAATGGATGCATCCGCCTCCACTTCCAAAGACACACTCTTGCCGCTGAGCAGATGCGCGTCGCTGTCAAAGGTTATCTCGCGCGGGGCGTCTGCTCCAGTTTGGTTCACGCTCACAAAGTAATCTGAGTAATCGCGAGGTTGAGCAAGCTCGAGACCACGTTCATCCAAGAAGATGAAGTCCGCTGCAGATGGACACTGCGTCTGCTGGCTGCTGCGGGCGGCTTCGGCCATCACACGCTGTGTTGAGAACGAACATGCATGCTGAGGTCGTGAGAAAGAACCGCGAGTATCTTGCAATTGCACGATGGCCATTAACTAATTGTTGCTACAAGTGGGAAAAACGGGGCCACGACGATCGTATGCTATGGCTTCGCGGCCGGTTGCCGTGTCAAGCGAGGGTTCCAGGACTCCTAAACTGCTAAACCCCAAACCCCAGGAACCCTAATCACTACAGACACCCTATAAACCGGATACGTCCCATATGTGACCTCTAGACTTTGTCTACACAAGCGGCACGCCCTATGTACATATGTGTATGTCTGTATACTTATCTATTTGTTTTTGGGCTTGCATGTGCTCTTTATCTAATGGCTTACCGATCAACTCATTGAAGCACTTTACTGATGCTAACTAGAAGATACAGATATGTATATGTGTATATACAGAATGTATATATTATGTATACATAGTTATGTGCATGTATATACATGTTCTTCATGTATATATATATATATATATCTATATATATGTTATATCATACACATATGCATGCACATATGGTTATTCCTTTCCGAGACCTGTAGACAACATTTTGCAAGGCCTCAGTTGGGAAGCGTCGAGCCGAAACCACCAAGCGAAGCGCGAGCCAAGGCATCCGTCAGGTATTTACTAGACCCAAGAGTAACCCAGGCATAAAAAGGATGCCCTTTTTGGTTTAAAGGGGTTTATAAGGGAACCTGAACCCTAAAAAAGGGAATAAGGGCCTACTCTAGGTTCTAGTTTAGGATCCTTTTGCAGGATTTAGGGTCTCAGCGTTTTCGTCTCAAGGTTTTGTGTTTTGATTTAAGCGTTTAGGGGGTTAAGGGTTTAGGATTTAGGGTTGCTTGGTTTCCGGGTGCAGTTTGTTTGACAAGGTTGCTTGTTGCTTTTGTTTTTCGTGCGTACTGTTGTAAGGCTTCAGGGTTAGTGGTTTGTGTTTTAAGGGCTTGGGGTTTTGTCTTGACAGTATGAGGCGCTGGCTTCGTTCTTGCGTGTTTAGGGTCTAAGGCTTAACGTTAAAGATGTCAGGTTTAGAGTTGAAAACTTTACATGGTATAGGGTTCAAGGTCTTTCCCTGACTGGAGAACCAAAAGCAGCAGTCACCAGGCTAGGCTCCGAACCACAGCTACAAGCTCGGCGGTGTGGTCGGTGGCGCTGAGCCGCACCTGCAGACGGAACCTCAGACCCAGACCTCATAAACCCTTAACCGCTGAACCCTCATTCCCGGGCCCCAACTCGTAGAGGAAAATTAGACCCCGGCCCCAGGCCCTGCACCTATATATATATAACCCGAAACCCTGAACCCACCTTTGAGTTAAACCCCAAACCATGAAACCAAACAACACCCAAAGCCCAAAACATTAAATCCTTGCAGAGATCTCGGGTCCAAGGATTTGGGTTTGCTGTCTGGCTCATAGTAGGGATTGGGGGAATGGATTATGGAGACTATCATTGGGGATTATATAGAGACTGCTATATGGATCCCTTCCCTCATTCCCTACTACGCACCAGACAGTTAGGGCTTGAATGCAAGCTGCGGCGGATTGGCTCTTCGGGTTCAGGGGCCCCTTGGGTTTAGTGGCTTCCGTAAGGGTTGGCCTAGGTGCACTTGCTGATTTGTTGAGCATATCGATTTGAACTGTTGAGGTTTGGGATTTGGGGTGTATAGACATAAACCCGTAAACTCCAAACCCTAAACCCTTTGGAACCTAGGTTTAAGGTTGCGGTTCAGTTGAAGCGGCAGGGTTTGGCTCGTTGCCCTCTGCCCTCCTCTGGTGTACTTCCCAATCCCATACCCTAGGGCTCCAGTTCCCTTTATAGTAGGTTAGGGTACCTCCTATATGGTTTGTAACCTACTGTTTAGGTATCTGGAGCCCTAGGGATACCTTGTAGACAAAGCCCGAACTGATCTAGGCTAGATCCAGCAAGTACAAGGCCTTGGCTGAAAGACTGCCTCTTCAGCTAGGAAGTGGGGCGGACTTGTATGTTACTTGCCGCGGCTCACTACCTCCTAACAGTTCCGAACATATGCATTACATGGTGCCCTTGTGGCCCTGCGCAACTTCATCTTGCAATGTTCGGCCAGCTCTGTTCGACCAAAGATCGGGGAAATCCCATCGTGATGAGCATTCAACTCACATTGAACTTGTCCATGTCCCAACTGACTCCCAACGCAACCAGGTTGTGCTTCGCATTCTGCAGCCGCTTTTTAAAGCGGAGGATCCGCTGTCTTAGATAATTCCAGCCCTTCTTACGCTTTTTTTTAAGGCTACGAGCTTAATCTCTGGACTTGCGCCCTGCTGTCCTTCGATGGAAGCTTGCTTTGCGCAGCCCAAAACTTTGAAAACAGCGGCGTAGGGCTTCTTGGCAATGAACTCAAGGACCAGAATGCCATGACGGCGCACGGGGTGCACTCGAAGCAATGAAGCACTTAAACTTCTAAACCCACGATAGTTCAGGTTCGACGGGTTTGGCTGTATGTGGTGTGGCGCAGAGAAGTCTAGGGCCGCGGCTTCTAGACTGAGGAGTTCGGATATGGGAGTTACCGAGAATAGCGGACATATAGTAATTACACTAAATAGAAGGACCCTGGATTCGGCCTTTGCGGAGTGTAGGATTTCGCGGCAGGGGTTTAAGCGGTTCATGGCAAGGGCTCTTCGAGATCCCGACGCGAAGTAATGGACGAGGTTGTCGCTATAGGAATCTAGGGAGGTGTAACTTCTTGGAGAATCATGGGACTTAGCAACTAGGGTCTATAACTAAGGTAACTGGTAAAGTTACCACTATTTCTAACCTCAAAACGTGCCTATATTGTATAGGTACATAACCGTACTTACTAAGTCTCATGGTCTTCCAGGTAGGGCAGGCTAGGGTTAAGAGTCTATACGATCCTGCGCTCAGGGTATTTGGCGGCTTCACTTCACGCGTTCTTGGAGGATCATGGGACTTAGTAAGTAAGGCTATAAGTGCCTTAATTGGGGTTATAAGTAGTTATAAATATAGTTACCCTAATTGTAACCCCAGTTACTAAGTCCCATGATCCTCTAAGTAATCAGCGTTTTTGTGCAGTTGGATCCGGCTTCAAACTGCCTAAGAACTAGGAATCTTCAAAAAAGGTTTAAAGTCTTAGGGATAAGGGTCCGCTTAAGGGATCTATAAGGATACTCTACGGGTTTATAGGGTTGGGAGTCTACAGGGTGCCGGGTTTGGCGTTTAGGGTTTCGTGTTTGGGAATTCGGCTTTAGAGGTTTGGGGCCTGGGGGTTTAGGGTTTGGGGTTTAGGGTTTCGTGTTTGAGGATTTAGAGGTTTGGGGCCTGGGGGTTTAGGGTTGGGGGTTCAGGGTTTCGTGTTTGAGGATTTAGAGGTTTGGGGCCTGGGGGTTTAGGGTTTGGGGTTTAGGGTTTCGTGTTTGAGGATTTAGAGGTTTGGGGCCTGGGGGTTTAGGGTTTGGGGTTTAGGGCCTCTGCAATCAGCTCTCCGCTGATGGCCCATTGCACTCGCAATTGCAGCGAGGGGGAGGCCATGCGGCTTCTCCAGAGTTTAAGGGTTCGGGTTTAAGGCTTCAGGTTTAGGGTGTCTTAGGGGGTGCAAGTTGACGACAGAATATCTAGGATTTGGCCGAAAGCTGTTGCCTTTGCGCTTGGTGGGCTGGTAGGCTTCATGCTTCAGGGTTTAGGGTTTAGGCTTTGGGGGACCCTGACACCGGAAACCCGGAAGCTAATAAGGGTTGCGAGTGTGGGACCTGCACAGGCATGTTACTAGTTTGTGTGCCCTGCGGATCCATGTGCTCAAACAGAATTTTATATACTTTGGCCTTAAAGTACGCCCTATATATCTACATTGGGCCCAGTATATGCTACTTGAGTACGTGGACCCTTAGGGGTAGTTGACCCTTAGGGGTAGCTAGGTATAGGGGAGACCCAGAGAGCCCAATACCCCTGAATTAAGGAATATAGCTTAAATCATAATATGATTCCCCTTGTAAGGTATATTCCTTAATTAAGGGGTATTGGGCTCTCTGGGGAGAACCTGGTCGGAGGCCGTGGGGCTGATGGAGCGCTAGTTTGAGCCGACATTGCGACCGAAAATAGTGTACCCGGACCCTCAAGAATCTACCTTCTGAGGGTTCCCTCTTATGAGTTCATTTCACCCTAAATCCTAAACTCTACGGCATTGAACCCATTATATAAGTCCTTAAAACGAACCCCAACATGCAGCAGCCTGAGCCAGGTCATACCTCAACTAGGCTGTTCAGTAACCCACCGGAAAAAAGTATATGCTTTTTTAGGCTTCGCATTTTATAATAGGAACCCAGAAACCTGTAGGCTAAAAAGTGTACCAGTGAACAGCCTGGTAAAGCCACCTGCATTTATGTCCGAGCACGGATCTTCTGAAAGGCCCGAATGTAGGCTTGATAGGAAGAGATTAGGGGTTAGGGGTATAGGGGGTTTAGGGGTGTAAGGGGTCTGGCGGTTTAGGGTTTTCGGGTTCAGGGGTTTAAGGGGTCTGGGGGTTTAGGGTTTTAGGGCTTAGGGTTTGGGGTTTAGGTACAGACAAAGCATGCAAGTTTTTGTAGCCGAGGGGAGAGTTTGGGGTTCCTGATTCCTCGAACTCCTGCTGTGCCGGTCCCTAAACACTACACCCTAAGCCCTGCCTTTAACTAACCCTCCTTAGCCCCTATATAATTGCTGGTTTTGGTAGGTCAAGGTAAACATTATGCACTTACTTGGAGCATCGGGGGACTGGCACAGGTTGCAGTTCGGGGTTTACCACCGTTTTAGGCTTCCCTATTCTGTTTTCCACAGTATGAGTCTTTCGAAACGGTAGGTTAATCTATGGCTTACCCAGAGAGCCCAATACCCCTTAATTAAGCAATATACCTTGAAGAATAAAGGGCTTCATATTATGGTTCAAGCTATATTCCTTAATCAAGGGGTATTGGGCTCTCTGGGTAGAGTCTTCGAGTTTACAG